CAGACAGACGGCGTCTGGCCAACAAACTTGGCCGTCATGGGTACATCGTCATTTGTAATGTGCTTCAGAAAGGCCGCGTCTGGCTTGTAGAGCATCACGTGAAAGTGCTCCACGGCATGTACACTCTTCAGACTCTTCCAGTTCTTGAACCACACCACCTCTTTGACCTTTGACGCAAACGTCTTTTGCACATAGTCTTCGATCTGCTTCTTGGACGCTTCCGTACACCAGCCCGTCTCGGGGTCGTCTTCGAGCTCAAATTTGGTCCAGACGACAAGGTGGACAATGTCTGGGTCGATGCCATAGGGCCAGTCGTTGTACAGGATCTTGATGTCCTCTGAACACGGTTAGACAGCGGTAGCAGCCAAGCGGATAAGTAGGGCGCCCCGTCGTACCATCAAACTGGAATGGTTCGCCTCGGGGTTCCATGGTATCCCACTTGAGACGCTCGTTGACTATGAAGTTCATGATGCTGCCATAGTCCTTCTCGAGCCTATAGGTAAACTGCCGGTAGCGGCGCAGCTCGCTCGGCAGGCGGTGGAACTTGTCGACGCGGTTGCTCTCTGGCGGGGGCCGTTAGCATCTCGCCTATCGGGTGTGAATCAATAACCGTACGGACAATCTCCCGCACCTGGTCCCATGTCAATACTTTGTACTCGCCGTCCGGCATCACAATGATTGCCTTATCCTTGTCACTGCAATCCTTTAGGAAGTCCGGGCACTCGCTCGGCCACTGGTCCTTTGGCACATTGACGAGCCAAAAGGGCAAAGCTTCGTGTGCCATGTTCGCGTCACGTTGATGACGCGGATCAACCCCAGAAAATGCTCAAAGTATAGCAATTAAACTGAAAATGTGACGAGAGAGTGTGTATGTAAGTATGCACAAGGTTGCAGTGGCGATGGGGAGAGCCCAACAGAATGCGCGAGCCCAAAAGGAAAGTTGAACGACGCGTTAGAGTACGTAGGTAGAAGGGGACCCGCGCTTGGGCTTACTAGTACGGTGAGCCATCCACCAACGCTGCAGACCTGACCTGCCAGCCATGGAATGTTTTGCGTCTAGCCCACTGTTTCAAAACGCGGCATGCGTCGACGGAGCCATCGGCAGTTGAAGCGCACGTGGACCGCGCCATCTTTCTTTTTGGCTTTTTCTGGCTTTGCAACTGGTGAAGAGGTGCGACGATGGATGAGAAGAGCGAGGAGACACAGACACATATGTACATACGCACGTAACCACACCATGTATAACCCTCTCCTGTCGACTCAAAACTGAAGAGCCGCACCACTGCACGCGACGGATGCAATCGTCTCACTTGGCCTCCCCAATCATAGCCGTGTCTCCCCATCACGGACTCATCGCCAGCAATCTCCCGCGTCTTAACGTCGTGTGTTATGCATCGGGTCTGCCTGGGGCCCCCAAGGGACCGTGCTGCCTCCCATTGGTTACACCCCAACCCGCCCGAAACGCACGAGAACCAGCACCCCTCTCGCACCTATAGTGACCATACCGAACATCTGTTTTAACACCCGGCCATACAGTGTCTAGACAGCCTGAGTTACATCATAATGGTCAGATGCGGCCAAACGCCCGCCCATTGTTGTTTGAGCGCATCTCAGCAGCAGCCCGTCTGGCAGGGTCTTGATCATGGCAATACTTTCTAACCCCCAGATCCCCATCCATTCGCCTTCAGTCATATTTTCTTCTCCCGTTCCCCTTTAACCTACGCCTTACCCTTTGTTAATCACCTCAACCCACTGATTGTTGTTTCTTTTTTCTTCGCCTATTCTTCATCCAGACTACTTCTACTCTTTGCACCATTGCGGTTGTCACCTTCCGCTGGTGACTCTGTTTCACGTTGCACCATCCCAGGATCCCTAGTCCATTCGCCTTCTCCACAGATTATTTCGCATGTCACAGTGCAACATTCCACAGTGGACGCCCTGTGTTTCTATTTGTGCCTCTCCCGCTATTTGACGAAGGGGGGTCTTTGAAAATCGACGATATATACGCCCACTTCCGCTCTCCCGGCGCATGGCTCGCACCTTGCTGTTTGGCAAAAACACTTTCATCCCTACACATTTTCGGATCAGGCACTACACCCAATCCGGGTTTCACCAACATCTCAATTTGAATAAGCTTTTTCACCACAAACCATCGACTACAGTGTCACTGTCGCATGCTCGACACACGTCGAAACTTGTCACTTCACTCGTTTGCCTTCGCTTGCCTCTCGTCACAATATATATCCTACCAGTCATCACGATACCACTCCGAATGCCCACCACCAAGTCTTCAACATGATCCGCGATCCCCAATTCTGGAAACGCTTCAGCACAGCCGTACACCAAGATGACTTGGAGAAGCAGCTCATGACGGCCCAAAGCCCAAAGCATCCGTACGTGGCAAGCAGTTCTTCTTTTACCCCTGTACCATTGTCTCTCGGGTCCCCACCATCACAAATACACTTTCCAATGTCCTCTCCGGGCCAACCACCAATGGTCCATCTGGCCTCGCTCTCCGGCTCCACCATAACAAGCCCTCTCTCGCCTCTCTCGGCCGAAATCTCCTTTTCAGAAACCGAGTCCACAAAATCCACAAAGGACAAACGAAAGAGCAAACCCTTCCGCCGCTCAACGCTCCAAAAAACTCCCTCGACAAAACCTCTCCTCCGCCCAAACTTCACCGGCTCAAACATCAAACTCCCACCCACCACCTCCACCTCACCATCATCGATATCATCACCAACATCAACATCCTGCTCCCCGACCCACTCCCCCCTCGACCCTCCTCCCCGACTCCACCACCGCACCTCCCTCCCCCAATCCCCCTTCCGCCCCTTCTTCCGCGCCCCAAACATCTCCGCCATCTCCCTCTCCCTCAGCGGTCGCCCTTCCTCCCGCTTCAAATTCGTAACTACCATCACGGCTGACGCCTCACACAGAGACTCGTGGCTCGTACGGCAGAAGCGGAAAGAGCGACACCGCACCTGGATTTGCTGGGCGTTTTGGATCGGCCTGTTGCTGCTTGTTGCGGCGGTTGTTACCACGGTTTTGGTGTTGAAGTCTAAGCGGATTATTTGAGAGAGTGGCGTGGGGGGGTTTGGAGGGGGGATGGGGGTTCAACATCCTCCAACCCCCCCCCTCTCCCTCCGCCTTTGCGTTTTTCTCTTCTGGTTATATTTTTTTTTGGTTGTTTTTTTTGTGGTGTACGAACATGAACAAAGAGCGGGAGCGTGGAGTTCTTTCTGTTCCGGGAGGGTTCGGAACGGGGGTGTTCGGCGTCTCTTTTCGAGGGTAAAGGACTTCGGGAAAGGGCATTGCTCTTTTTGGGTGGGGGCTGAGTTCGAACTGGCTGGACTGGTCTTTGCAACCGGACATCTGGCATGCCGAGCATTGAGTCTACGTGGTTCTCCTTTTTTCTTTGTACATGATACCAGGTCTTGTTTGATATGACCATGAAATACCAATTTTAGTTTGTTTTCTCTCTCACGTATACATATAGTTGTATCACTCGTCTTATGTGCATTTGTATATTCACGTGTACATATTCGACCGTTCTACCTGTGAATTGGATATAAGCATAGTTGAGGGGAAAAAAGCAAGTGGCTGGAAAAGATACATTACATCTCTCTTCTTCCAAACTGAATTCGTATACTACAAAGATGCATGTTTTTTGAGTGACAGAACAAATGCAATGCCCGCTGATGGTATCAAAGTCCAACGTCTCCCGAAGAAAATTGCGCGGGCATGTCTTAACGCCAGAAACTCCTAATAATCCCTACATGCACTCTTAATCACCACCTTCTCAGCAACTTTCAGAGGCTCCTCCTCTTCTTTCTCAATCAAAACCTGGTCTTAGCAGCAGTAGCGGGCGGTGTAGGACTCCTGCTCATACTCCTGGCATCGCGGCCGCGCTCCTTAAGCCACTTTCGCGTGCACATGTCCAGTTCCCTGTCCAGCTCAGGAGATGGTTCTTTGCGATGAATGAAGTTGCAAAAGCCACCGCGTACACAGCCCTCACCGCTATTCAGTCGACAACACGCTTCGCGGAAATCGGTAACGGGCGAGAGTTCGCAGTAGATAGGGCGACCAGCGTACCAACGACTGTTGAGGGCATCGCAGGCTTTTTGGGCGTCCTCTTCGTACTTGAAGCGTACATAGACGTTGCCGATAAGATCTATTTCAGTAAAGTTAGCCTAGAGTCGCCATGCGTAGATGGGAAAAAGGGCGCAGAAAACTTACGGTCATTGTTGTTGTCGCAAACAACGAGCTCCTCTACCAGCCCATACTGGCAGAGCTCACACCAAATGTCCTCGTAAAAGGCATCAAAGTGCATCTGCATCTGCTGCGCATTCATCTTGTTCTTAGGGTCGTATGCCGGATTCTGGTACAGGTTGGGCAGCAGGATAGTCTGCGAGTATGAAGGCTTGACGTGTTTTCGGGAGCAGCGGTCGCCGTGACGGCAGGCACCAATCTTGTAGTAGAAAGAACAGTTGACCTTGTCCTGCTCGGTTCCGAAGATGGAGGCGAGGTAGTTGGCCATGTTTGCGGGTGTTGCGCGTGCGTGTCGCTATGAGATATGGTGTTTTGGTAACGACGATCGGAAAGCGTATGCGTTTCGGAATGTAGATGTCGATGTCGATCGATCGATGGGGCAGGGACGATGGAGACGGTGAGGTTGTCGCGCGGACGGTGCAAAATGTCGCGATGCGCGCGAAGCTCGCCGGAGCGGACGCTAGCGGATGACAAAGCTAGTGGAACGCCAAGGAATAGTCGAGAACGCGTGAGATGTGATACTCTTCTCCTCTTTGCCACTCCATGTTGACTTTCATGACATTGATTTAGATTTTTTATTATCATCATCTCCTCTACACAAGTGTATCTACAGGAACCTTGTAGAAAGTCATCTGTCATTTCTCGAGGCCATCTTTTCCAATTCTAGAATTGTGATTGCAATCCAACCCTGCAATCCATCCTCATACCATGTATAGCTTGCCTTCTCTTCACACTCCAAAGTCCTTACGAACTTCCCTTCCCACTGCCTTCAAATTCTCAACGAGCCACAGGTGCTGATTACTAAAGATGAGCATAGCCCCCGGCAAGAACGCAAAATTGTTGCTAGTGACTCCAATCCAAATCTTGCCAATCAAAGCACCAGCTGGATTCCAGACATTTATGCCATCTCCGCAGCCTGCCCACAAGTTTCCCTCGGTATCCGTGTGCAGCCCATCAGCAATTCCAGTATCCACATATGCAAATGTGCGTCTGCCTGCCAAAGACTTGTCATTATCGATAACATCGAAAGCGTAGACCGTAGAAGGACGTGTGAGATCTGTGTCGTTTTGGTAAACCCCGGAGTCAGATACATAAAGCGTCATGTAGTCTGGGCTAAACTCAAGTCCATTCGGCTGAAAGAAATCACCTGCGACAGCTTTGATGTCGCCCGTCGAGGGGGAGAAACGATACACGTGCTTGGGGAGATTGGACGGTGGCCGGAAACCTTTGTAGTAGCCATAATCCGTGTCGGTGAACCAGATGTCGCCGGTAACAGGGTGTTGTCGCACGTCATTCAAGCCGCTGAAATTTCGTCCGAGAAAATTTGTTAGAATGCGGGTCGAGGAGCCGGAAACGGGATCTACGCTGACAAGGCCGGCGGGATTGGTAAGGTCGCCTTGGTCGCAGTATAGTATGTATGGCGGTGTGGATGAGTTGGCCTGTGTGCCTGGAGGATAGTACGCTGTACCCCCGTTGGGCTCAGACAAAGAAGGGTATCTGATTGAAGAGATGGAGTAATTGTTTGCTAGGTCGATGGTGGTAACGTTGATGGGGTTGGACAAGTCACCCGCCCAGTCATTCGTTATATAAATCTTCTGGGTATCTTTGCTGTACACTCCTGCTTCGTGGAAAGCAGAGTAATCTAGGTTGTACAACTGTCGTGCCGTCGCATTTTCTCCAAGTATGGAAGCAAAGCTGGAATTATAAGAAAGGAATTCAATCGTGGTTGGATTCGAGGCATTTGTCGAAACGATGCTGTTTAGGTACGAGGGGTTTGTCGCGAAGGACAGCAGATCAACGGGAACAATGCTCGACATGATGGAAATGACAAAGATTGAGGTGAGAATGAATCCGAACAACACTTGGTCCCATGGTCCAAAATCTTTCGATGGATGCACATGTATTAGTAGCTGCGTGAGGCTGCTGATCCCATCGCAGGGCGCCATGGCAGATGGAAGTATTGCATCACCAGTCCCCACCCTTTCACCTTGATTGCTCAGCCAACAGCGTCAATGCTGGCATAACAAGAATTGTTTGGTTGTAGGATTTGAGTGTGACTGATCCCTGATTCAGACTGTGCAGCCATAATGCGTGTGTGGCTGTCGAATCCGGTCAAGTTGGCTGCGTGTTCCTGGTGCCTGAGGGTCATGTACCTCGGGGCGGCTCATACGATGGTGTTGATCCCGATACATGCATTAGCTCCTCGACCGAGTCAACCAGCGATGCAGGAGCAGTTGTTCGGGTATCAAGCACATAAATTTGGTCACTGTATTATCTTTGCTTATAGCCTTTAGCGTTGGTGTATGCTGTTGTATCCAGCAATTGTTTGTTTCCCCGATGGCTGCAGCGTGTGAGCACTACGGCGCCACTGCGGGAAAATAATAGAGGTAGGATTACCGAGGGCATACATGAGAGTAACCATATACGTTCCTTTTGCTGCCTCAAAAGTATTTAGCATGATACCCAGCAGAATGGAAAAATTGACCAGCATCTGCACGCATCTGCAACGCATGTCAGTGCCCGATAATGGAGCAAGCCTGCTGAGGGTTTGCCTACTTTGCGTTCATGTACATGAACGAAGCCGCATTCTATGTCTCTTCAGGAAAACTCCAGTCTGCGTATTATGCACGGCCACCTATATTTGTGTTCCGCATAAACGTGCTTGCGGGATTGGGGAGCCGGGTAGTAAGTATGTCATGTCGGTCAGTTGTCGAAGTGGGCGCATGTCAGCCTTGGATCCACTGGCAGCACTGAACACGATGCATAGAATGGTAGGCGGGCTTCAACTTGCCATGCTTGACATACTTACCAGAACAGCAGTGCTAGAACGTAATCCATCAAATAGACGAGTGCAATTATGAGTAACAGCCTAGCTCGTACAGTTTGTATGCGTAAAGAAATTGATATCATGTCTACATATAGCAGAGCTCCCGCTATATGGCCCGACCCGCTAGTTTCGGTGTTCGGATTTCCGACAAATGAACTTCGGCGGGTTGGTGAGCATTGTCGCGACGGCGAACACGCGTTTCCTGGGGTGCGGGATGACATAACGATGCTTCACTAACACACAGGGCAAAGCCTATATACCTTGCTCGTGCTGACGCAGACGTGTTGAAACTTCGACGCCATCTTTACTCAAATCCAACCGCCAGTCATGGACCCTCTTCTTGCAGCCGCAGAAACCGCTGCTGCGGATTTGGCCAGAACACCCTCCCCGCCAAATACCCCTCCATCCGCCGCGACACTCCCACCAAGCCGCCTATGGGCCATCGGCGACATCCATCTCTCCTTCAAAGGCAACCGTGAGGCCCTGGAAAAGCTCGTCCCCCATCCGCACGATGACTTGATCCTCTGTGGCGATGTCGGAGAGACGGCTGAGCACTGTCGCATGGCTTTCACAAAGGCCAAGGAATGCTTCAAGGACGTCTTTTGGGTGCCAGGCAATCATGAGCTATATACATTGCCTGCAAATAAAGAAGACGGCGCAAGAGGCGAGGCAAAATACATGGAGTGTGTGGAGATTGCTCGCGAATTTGGCATCTTCACGCCCGAGGATGACTACGTGCTGTGGGAGGGCGAGGGAGGGCCATGTCTGATTGCGCCCATTTTTACGCTGTACGACTACAGCTTTCGCCCGGATTCGGTAAAGCTACAAGATGCGCTCGCGTGGGCTAGAGAACAAGACATTGAGGCGACCGACGAACACCTACTACATCCAGACCCCTACTCGTCGCGAATCGAATGGTGTAATGCTCTTGTAGACAAGACGGAGAAGAAGCTTGAAGCGGCTGTGGCTGCGCACCCAGACATCCCGCTGATCATAGTCGGGCACTGGCCCTTGCGAGAAGATCTTGTGAAGCTGACCAAGGTTCCCCGGTTCTCGCTCTGGTGTGGCACCAAGAGGACAAAGGATTGGCACAGCAGGTTCAATGCCAAAGTGGTCGTGTCTGGACATTTGCATATCAGGCGGACAGATTGGATTGACAATACGCGCTTCGAGGAAGTAAGCTTGGGCTATCCAAGGCAATGGCACAATTGCGTGGAACATGGACTCGATATCAACGACTTGCTCCGTGAGATACTGCCTGGGCCCAGGACGCCGCCCGAAGGGGAGCGCCGCACTATCTGGAGACATTTCGGATGAAAGGTTGCGTGGCAGACGTATCGTGGGCATTCATCACATTTGCTGTGGCTGCAGGTACGTCTAAACCCTCCAATGGCTTTTTGCCTGCCTATCACGTTTATCCATTTACCAAGAATGCCGCCGTAAACCTTTCTTCCTTTGACCTTGCGTTGCATCCGCTTCTTCCCTCCACCTGCCTAAAACGTTGTCTCTGCCCCACAAACCACTTGTTCAATCGCACCCGTGCACGTGCACTGTATCTGATTCGCCATAATGGGAACCATGCCTGATATGTCTAATGCAAGGTTACTTAGATCGGCATAACGAATTGCCTTCTATAGAACCCTTCTCCGAGGGTATTCATGCGGTCCTTGAGTCGCTGTTTGCCCCGCATAGCTATCAACTGCAACAAGGCCGTTGTCAACGTACATACCGATGCTGTACTTAAGCACTGGCCAATGGATGTCTACACAGTAACCCATGTGCCCTGCCAATGTGCCGGAAAGATGCATGGATAATCTTCCGCTCCATGCGAGTGCCAAAACCGCAAGGCATGACCCGGAAACACCAAGGGAAAAACAACACTATGCGGTGCTTGTTTCACTGACTAGTATGGCACATGTGACCGGCACAGTGCCGAAGCGTCAGTATAAAGAACAAGACTATCCCCAGCTTCAGCAACACAGAGGTTTCCAACTACTGGACTGTATCCATTCTTAAGACTCTGTTTCTTGCCCTGGTATACTGCACTGAGAACCAACATGCTCGGTCTCCGAAGTCTGCCCCTCCAGCTCCTCGCAGCTGCGAGCGTCGTCCTCTCCTCCCCCGTCAGCCTCGAAAGCCGTGCAGTCATTGCACACGATGCTGTGGTTCCCTTCCCCGAGACCGTTCCATCTGGTCTTGTTGGACAGCTTATGCTCAAGTACAAGCCTTACTTGAAGGTTTTCAACGGCTGTGTCCCTTTTCCTGCCGTGAACGCTGCAGGAGACACTAGGTCCGTCTTTTCTCAAACTCTAGAATACCACAAATGCTAATCTTTCTGACAGCGGTGGCCTCAACCCCTCTGGCGGCGAAAACAGCGGCTGCAGTTCCAGCACCGGCCAAGTTTACGCTCGCTCTACAACTTACAACGGCGCATACGCCATCATGTACGCGTGGTATATGCCTAAGGACTCGCCCTCAGGTGGCCTTGGTCACCGACACGACTGGGAAAATATTGTCGTCTGGCTCTCAGCGGCCTCCACCACTGCCACCATTCGCGGCGTTGCTATTTCCGCACACGGTGATTACCAAAAGGAAACCAACCCATCATTGCAGGGAACTCGACCCAAGATTGGATACCGGGCTTACTGGCCATTGAATCATCAGCTCATCTCTACTAGCGACCTTGGTGGCCAGCAGCCGCTAATTGCATGGGACAGCTTGACGGCTGCTGCTCGCAACGCTATCCAGAACACGGACTTTGGCGCAGCAACACCAGCATTTAGGGACGGCACTTTTGAAAGTGCTCTCGCCGAGGCCTTTATCTAGATAACTATTGGTTCCATGTACAAGGGATTTCGCTTGCAGGAAATGCAAAGTGGCGAATTGTGAAGCTGTCACTGCAACTTAAACTGTATATATTCATTTTCTTATTAGCGGCTCTTTCTACAGGGGTCTCGCGCTACTGCCTTACCTGCATATATATTCTTTTATTTGGAAACCTCTTTCCACGTGCGTGCCTGGATGGCTCGAGTGCTGTGCTGTGATAAACTAGACTTTCTTTACTCACCATACCCAATGCACTGACCCATCATCTTTTCTATTCATGCTTCCGGCCTCGTACTACAAAACAAATGTCATGTTTATCTAGCATCACCGACGAAGAGCCGAATTGTGGATGACGTGCTTGACACGTCAAGATCTTACACTACACGTCTCAAGGGCTGGACACCAAGACCAGTTCCTGTTTCTTTCAACCGTATACTATCAATACAAGGACAAATATAACCCAAGGCCATTCACGAAAGAGAAAGAAAATAGATCATGCATGTGTCAATTATAGATGAAACGCCCATGCAGAACAATAAACAACCGTTGCGCTAGAAGCTCTGTAAATGCACTCGAACTAGCAGTAGTAGCACCCGCTAAGCCGAGTCATGGAAATACTACACTCCCTGTCTAGATCAGAGCACGTAAGAATCATCATGGCTAATGTACAAGTAACCCGAGTCTAAAATCCCTTTAGGCTTATTAGGCATTCTAGCCATTGTACATACCAGCATCACGTATGCACATAATCGCCACCCCTGGCTATGTACCTTAACCCGAATACCCGGGCGGTGGGCCATCAGGCGGCGTATACTCGGGCGGAGGAGCTTCAGCAGTGGTACCCATGGGTATGGAACGCAGGTGAGGCGCAGCAGCGCCATGCAGGACCCTCTTGAACGCTTCCTCTCGCGCTTTCTGCAAGTCATGGCGTGCGCTCTGCAGCGCGGTCTGGGCGTGCTGGACGTCCTTCTGCAAGTTATGTTCTTGATGCTCGCGGTGCCGTATGATATCGCCACAGGCTTTCCCCGCGCGGTCGACCTGCGTGATGGAAGCTTTTATTTCCTCGTGCATGCGCATATCGGTGAAGATGTTGTCGAATACGACGTCGGAGAAGATGCTGCCGCTGGCGATGTTGAGGTGGCCGAGGGGGGGTATCTCGGGTGCGACCTGTGTGAGTTGGTCTTGCAGCATGCGGACTTGGGCCATGGCGCTTTCTGCGCGCTCGAGGTCGTTGAGCTTTTGCATGCTGGCCATGGTGCCTCCGCCGAACATGTCGAATTGGCTCATGCCGTAGGCGTGCTCGAGGGATGTGCGGGCTGCGGAGAGCTTCAGGGAGGTTTGGCCGAGGAGAAAGAGGATGTGGCGTTCGCGCTCGAGATGCTGGTTTATTTGTTGTACGTGTGCGAGAGCGGCGTTGCAGGCTTCCTCTTTCCGGTCTTCATCTGGAAATTCGGGCGTGTGGCCGGCGAAGATGGAGTTATATAGGGCATCGAGTTGAGCCTGGAGGTTCTCGTGGCGTTGGGCTTGGGTGGAGAGTTCTTCTCTTCGCCTTTCGGCTTCGTCGCGCAGTTGCTTGGTGTATGCTAGTTCATCTTCGGCGCTTTTCTGCTCTTGTATTGCGTCGAAATAGTCCTTCTCTTCTTTGGCGGCCTTTTCAGCAAACTTCTCTTTCTTGCCGCTTGCTTTATGGGCAAACCGCCGAAAGGTTGAGTCGCGATACTTTTCATGTTCTTTGAGTTCGACCTTTGCTTTATTCTGAAGTGTTTTCACCCGGCCTGTTGTTTTCTGGATTTGGGAATTGAGGTCGGCTATGTAGTCATTTTGCTGCTTGAGCTGTGAGGGGGCAGCGTCGGTTTCTTCGAGGCCACGAAGCAGCTGCTCGTTTTGGTGCGCCGCTTGTTGAAGTTTATCTTGAATAGAAGACATTTTAAACTTCTAGTTGTGTGTTCGTTATAGGACTGTTTCTGTAGATGGGAGCGCAAGACAATCTTTATATACATATGACATCTTGGGGTACACAGCCTGCCTTGAGGGATCGACATGTGAGAAGGCGTATTCACACTCGGTTCGCAATAGGCTGAACAACACAGCCCGGTGACACCGATACGTCATTCTGGACGCCTGAAAGGCGAGGTGGATACAGCAACATTTTGTCGATGGCGGGACTGGGTGTTTTGCTCATGCGTTCTACTTGAAGGGGGTTGCGCGCAAGGCTGGGCGCCACGGCTCAATGCGGCCTACTTAATTATGGCGCAGCCATCTAAGCCCCGCAACTGCTAGTAGATCGCGGGAACGGCTATCCTGAACAATGCCCGCGGTGGCGAATATCGAATAAGGAATAGAATGCCTTGATGATGCCTCGCAAGGGGTGAAGACTGGGGATGCTAGTGAAGTGTGTCGTACAGCTGTGCATAGGCAAGTGCAGCCGGTGTGGCTTCCAGACGGCAGGAAGTGCCTAGAGTGCCACATTCGTTCCTCAACGCCCCACCTTGTGAGACGTGATAGCTAAACAGCAACGGTAACCACAGCAATCCCCGACACATGATACCATTGAGCCCCTCCATAAATCCCCAATTCCTTGTCCCACTCTTCCCTTTCGCACACCATTGATTTCATCAGCATGGCAACCGAACGGCTCCAAATTTATGAGCAGAAACCCCGCGTCATCGTCTTGTCTGACATTTCAAATGAGCCTGACGATGCTGAATCGCTGTGTCGATACCTCCTCTACTCGAATGAGTTTGAAACCGAGGGCCTCATAGCATGTACAAGCACGTGGATGAAGAACGAGGTTCACCCGGAAGACATGGAGAAGATTATCGACGCTTATGCTGGCGCTGTCGACAATCTAAATAAGCATGTTCATCCGAAATGGCAATACCCGACTGCGGATCATCTGCGTAGCCTTGTCAGGAAAGGTGCTGAGGTAAGTTCATACTCAACTCAAACATGCGAGATGTCTAGTTGAGACGTTGCTGATGCAATATAGACATATGGCATGTCTGCTGTTGGCACTGGAACAGAACTCTCTGCTGGCGGGCAGCTCTTGTACGACAGGATTGTTGCACCATCAATCCAGCCGCTGTGGATCCTCTGTTGGGGCGGAACCAACACACTTGCTCAGGCACTCTTGAAGGTTGATGATGACTACGATCCGGACGATTCCAAGCGCTTGCTTTCGCGTCTACGCGTCTACGCTATTTCTGACCAAGACGACACGGGCGTGTGGATTCGAAACAACTTTCCAGATGTATTCTACATTGCCTCGGTCCATGGCTGGAATCAATATGGCTTAGCTGCATGGACTGGCATTTCTGGAGACCGATACTATGGTTTCGACCAAGGTGGCCCCGACTTTACCAAGATGGAGAAGAGCTGGATCAAGGAGAATATCCAGATAGGTCCTCTTGGAAGCGCATACCCAGACTACCTTTACATCCCCGAGGGAGATACACCAACATTTCTGTATCTCATTCAGAATGGCCTGGGCGTCCCTGATTGCCCGCACTACGGCTCTTGGGGTGGGAGATATAGTCGTACAGATGTTAGCAGCGAAGGCGTCAACAGCAACCACTACAGCGATGCGGTGGATCGAGTTCAGGCCGGTAATAGGACTTACACATCCAACCATGCGACTATCTGGCGTTGGCGCGACGCCTTTCAGAACGATTTTGCTGCGCGCATCAGATGGACCATAGAGTCCGACTTTGCAAAAGCAAATCACCATCCCGTGATCAATATTAGTGGATTCAAGGGCCTAGCTCCCGCTCAAATCACTGCCGAAGCTGGATCTGCTATTACGCTCGATGCTTCAGGTACATATGACCCTAATGGAGGCAAGCTGACTTTCAAATGGTGGCACTACCGTGAGCCCACAGCTACGCAATGGTGGGTGGACGCTGAAGTTGCGGAGTTGGCAATCAAAAAATTGGACAATGAAGGCAGAAAAGTTGAAATTACGCTTCCACCACCAGAGAAGTCGGCAGTGGAATTCACGAGCAAGCAACCCATTGCGCAAGGTCAATTGTTGCATCTTATTCTCGAGGTCACCAACGATGGAGCACCTAATTTGACAAGCTATCGGAGATTGTTGATCCAGACAACGAACAAGGAGTTGAGAGGTAGCAAGGATGTCGGAGCAACTGGCGATGCTACGAAGAAAGCTTGATGTTATTGAAATAATGGCTGTAGATAATATAGAAAAGGTAGCAACGATGGAACCTGAAAAGTCACTTTTGTTTCTTATTTTATCTTCGGGAAAACTACTGGAGATGGGGGGCGAACTGTTTCACCACAAACCCTATCTATTCACAGGGTCACCACCAGCATTTAAGGGAATAGCTCTTAGAGTTAAAGGCACGATCAATGTGGCTTGTAGACGGGAGACTAGATCAAAAACCACCACTAGGCCACCGACGTCATGCCAGGCTAGTACACCCACGAATCAACGTCGAGCGCAGCGTAGTCCGACTCCCGGTCCCGAAGGGCTCAGAGGGCTATCCTTACATGGCCTGTCAAACACGTGTTACCCGCCTTAATAAAACAGGTTGTCAATTGCCACATGCGTGCAACAACGACGATCTTGCATGACGTAGCGCTTCCGTACTCGCGCTGTCACACATAGTGCCGACCCTCATAACATCAATCGGCTTCTGGACCCTTGACAACGTCTCTGAACATCACAAACTGAGCAAAATGCCGCCAAAACAAGCACAAAAAGGATCCAAACCGAAGCCCGCAAAGGGCCAGGCCAACAACAATGACGATACTCCGCAATGTACCATTCCCGAGCACGAAATCAAGCAAAATGCTGGCGTATCAGCCAGTATGGCTCTACAAGCAGGGCAAAAAGCATGGGAGCTCAGACAAGCAGCACATGGCGCTGCCGATGCGGAAGCAAGAGAGAAAATCTTAGCCAAAGCAATCAACAAGGAAATCGAAGCTGAGAGTTTCGGAAAAGCAGCGAAATATACACAGTCCGGTGCTTTTCAGGGATTGGCTGCTGGAGCTGGATTGGGCGTACAACCAGGTGTAACCCTCGGAAAACTGACTGGTGCACTGGTTGGAGGCCTGGTGTCTACAGTAACTGGTCTACTTGGTGGTGGTATCGGTTCAGTCTACGGCGCCATGTCTGGGCCTTTTTGGGATCTCGGAGAGATGGCAAGTCACGGAGTTCAAGGCGTGATTGGTGACTTTCTTCCAGACATCAAAGCCACATCTTCACAAAGGAAGGCTTTGGAAAAGATGATCATGCAGACAAAGGAAACGCAAGCGCCCACGAGGGAAGAGCTGGAGCAGATGAAGAACGATGCACCAGACCAGATGCCGCAGTCTTGGTCGCAATCAGTCAAGGATATGACAAGTTGGAGACCCAAAATGCCAAGTATGCCTAGTATGCCGTCAGCGAAAGGTGTGGGTGGTGCGGTAGGTCTTGGAGGGCTAGGTGCATCAATGAACCCCTGGGGAGGACAAAAGCAGAACCAGCAACAGCAGAGTGCACCACAACAGAGCCAGCAGAAGCCAAACCCGAAAGCTCCAGTTCAGAACCAACAGCCTTCCCAAGTTCAAAACCAGCGACCAAACCCCCCGAGCAGGCAGCCGTCAAAGCAGGGAAACCAGCAGGGCACATCATCCAATGCTACCCCTCAAGAAGAACCTAAGCCCGCGAAGCCTCGTTCCCAAAGACCACCTACAACAAGAGGTGCAGTAAACCCCCAATCGGCATCGCAACCCCAGCCATCAACTTCCAACACCACCTCCCAATCCACTCAGCAAAAGCAACAACCAAGAGCTCAACAATCCTCCAACAAACCCGCAACAAGCACCCAAACTAAATCTTCGCCCCCAAAATCTCAAACAGCAAATCTGTCTCGACCTACCCAGACAAAGCGTGTCTCCTTCAACGACGGCCAAGAAATCAGTTCGACCACTTCGACAGCGAAAGCAAGGAGGAAGCCGAGGAAATTGAATCAGCAAACTTCTAATGCTGCCAATACTAATGGTACTGCTAATACCAACGGCACTACTAAAGCGTCAGCTCCTGCCGCGAAGAGGGCGCCTAGGAAGTTGGAGACGAGGAAGCCTGCTGCGTGAAGGATTTGGTCGGGAGAGCATGTGCGTTTGGAGTTTGTTTGTTCATGGTTTTGGTGTGTTTGTGGTATTTTCAGCGGGCTCTTTAGTACTCACCTGTAGTTCATCTGATTAATGGTTGTATTATTATTCAGTTAATTTTGGCAATTTTGAGTTTATCCTGTGTGCAAAATCACGTTATGATTGGTAACTATTGGGACTTGTGTTCAACAGTAACATTGTATAGAGCGTTTCATCGACGCTTGGGAACATCTGTTTTGTTTAATACCTAGTCTTTAAAGGACATTCAACAATGGTTATGTCTCCTATATGTGGGTATTCGTATACATGGCCCCATTATATTTACTCGTAATTGTATTTAGCAATATCAACAAGCTCTTCACTGCTGATCTAGATTGTCTTTGTAGTTCTAGAATGTATCTGCCGAAAAAGAGTCCTCTTAGGGTATTCAAAATGCAACACAATCGCATAAAATAAAATTTGGCCTTGATAAAAATTGGATAAACGCTGGAAGAGGTATCATTCAAAAAAAGCCTTCACTCAACCGACTTCTTTCCCAACATCACCTCTTGCCCATTGCGGCCCCTCTCCCGCTTCTCTGTCTCTCGCCAGTTTCTTCTCCAACTCTTCTCTTGCCTTTTGACCAAACTTCTTTTCCCACTCCTTATCTCTTTCCTTCTGTGGTGCCGCAAAAGATGTACTGAGCCCACCCCTACTCTTAACTTGCATCTTCTTCTCAGCCGCCTCGTTTTGCTTGAGCTGCTCTTCTGCACTCTGTATCCTCCTCTTCAAACTGATTTCAAACATGTCTCTTCCTTTCCTCCGACCCTTTAAACCGTTATCGTCTTTGTCAAAGTATACGGCCCATCGTAGACCTTCTCTCCCCCAAGGCGTTGAAGGGTCTTCGTCAGCGCCATCCCACTCGTCAATAGCAACAAAGCCTTCCCAGCCGTCGAATGTGAGATGACTCTCGTCCTCTGACCAGTCCCAGACACCGATGTGATGCATAATACTCCCGGTACGATTCGAGTACCGTAACTCGTACGTGCTTTTGTCGCAATATATCCAGTTGAGCATAGGCGGATCATCACTGATGGTGCTCACTAGCCCTCGCTCCGGCGGACTGCGGTCCTCATCCGGATACGCAATGTAGAAGCCCGCAAACGCATGCAGTGGTTCTTTGCCCTCTCCATCCACGCCCTCAGGCCACATGGGTTTGTCATCCGCGTCCCTCGGCACGACCCAAACTTTGTCGTGGCGCACAACCAGAATACCGTGGTCCACCTCCTCCTTTGCTATTGGATCAGGGTCATCGCATGCCACCAGACAGTTGAATTTCCACATGCGCGACTCATTGGCGGCTTCTTCGTTTTGCTTCTTTTGATGCTCGACGCCCTGCGCGACGCCTGTGACGACAGGGATCGCGATGACGCAGCCGCCTAGGAAGACTCCGAGTGGAAGCGCCATTTTACAGACTGGCAGTCAATATCGTATAGGTAGGTTTGTACTTTTAAAATGCCGCCTTTGCAGCTGATACGATCCTTATGTGTGGTCCAGGTCCAATGGCTGTAGTGGGGGTGGGGCACTAGTGTGTTACGTCATTGGAAGCATGGATATTTATGGAAGCGAGTAATGTTTTAGCTTGATTTCTTGAGAGAATGGTGTTGGAAATAGCAAGAAGCTACTGTGCGCTATTCAGCTCTAGGGAAATCCTTGCAAACTTCATTTTATAGGATAAAGAAATTGTTTCTACTTATCATATGATTGGCTGGAATATACAAAAACCAAAGATCACACCTCAGTCTCTGAAGAACACACTACAGGAGTTTCTAGGTGGATTAGAGATGAAGCTCATAGCTTCTTGATATCGAGCGAAGAATTCGATCTAATGAACAAGGTATGCCCTGAGTACTGCAAGCGAATATGTTCTGCTAACTCGGACAGCTGGGATCAATCGTCCATGAACAAAATCCGCTCTTCCTATCCATGTCAGACCCTAGTTCAGTCAAAAGTTCTCATAAAAATAGTCCTATATCTCTCAGTGACTGAGAAACAATTAGTGATATACAACATGTCATTGGTTCTTTTGACTAGGGGCAAGGGTAATGGGCTGTCAACCACGGAACGCGTTGAGACCAAGTATTGGATATGGAAATGTCACAATGTTCATTTTCAAGCGGTAATAAATTAAACATCTACCCTGATCCTGATACTCTGATGACGAAGCTGCCCTCGAAATAAGATACTCGACACACCATGTTCCGAAACATCTTGGATATGCTTCGCGCATACCGTGAAAAGCAGAAACAGACAAAGAATGCCGACGTAATATCGCCCGAGACCTCTCCAAGAATTTCGACAGAAAACCACTTGGAATCAGCCAAGTCGTCCAGCGAAGAGATGCGCACGGGCATAACGAGCGAATCCTCGAGCCAGCCGACAGATAATACAAGCACTACCAATCCAGGGGAAGATATTTCTCTCAGAGCTAGGTGTCCTTCACCATGTCCATTTAGCCCACTCCCGCCACCAGAGCAAACGGAACCTTTTCCAACTCTCGAAGAAGACGAGAAGGAGTGGGACGAATGGAACGAATGGAACGATGATATCAGAACGGTACCCTATGCGCTCGACCACTGCACTCAACACTGCAGGCACCCCATCTGCCGCAGGGTAATTCGCGGCAACGAGAGGATAAACCTAGATCAGGAAGCCTGCCAATGCTCCCTCGAACCACCCCCTGCAACAACCTCAAAATATCAAGTACCGATACAGGAATTCTCAGAAGAAGACATCGCCGCCGTGCAATCCACCTACGACCACACCAGCAAACACGACCTCATCACCGTCAATCTGGGCACTGCAATCACCCTCGTCGACTTGCTGCGCCAGAACTTCCACTTGAACCTCTGCTCGCGTCTCCAATGGGACCCACGCTTCACGCCAAACACACTGCTCCACGGCACCCAGTACAACGCCGCTGTGCAATCCACAAACGGCCTCGTCGACAAGCTATTCGTCCACCTCATGCTGCTGCTCGGTCCAACGCCAAACCAAACACGGTGCATCGAGCTGCAAGAACTGCAGCAAACACTGCAATCAGTGATGCGACTCGAGTTCTTTTGGTGGCAGGCAACGTGGTGTTTTAAGCAGCAGCAGCAACAGCAACAGCAGGAGAGGATAGCCAAGGCGGATGACTCGCATGTCCGGAAGATGATGAAAGATGGGTTTGTACGTGCGCGACGGCGATATATCTGCGGGAGGCAGAGTGTAGGGATTCGAGTGATGATGGAGAAGTTGGAGGATATCGTCGAGATGGTCGTGGGTGTGTTGGTGTGGTGGAGTGAATGCACGCGCAGGTGGGCGGAGGAGGAGAAGGAGGAGGAGGATGAAGATGCCGAGTCGACAGGGCTGGATTCGAGTGTTGCGTCTTTTGTGACGGCGCAGAGTCATGTTACCGGCGACGACAGCGATGTGAATGGGAGAGATGGGGAGAAGGTTTGATTCACAATGCATTTTTTTTTTGATTTTGTGCGTCGAATAAGATGATCATGCGCCTTTGATATCCGCACTCACTGTTCAGGAACACTGATCTTCGGAGGTCACGAATACGCACAATGTCCGACTCTCATGTTTCCAACTCATTGTACATGGTTTACGAACAGCTTGTTCAAAGCGTCGACGCTGTATTTAAAGATCAAGATTATTCCCTTTTCTCCTCTCATATCATTCAATCAGACTACCTACTACAATCACGGAGCAACCCATTACAACTACGGAGCAGCCTACTACAATCATGGAGCAACCTACTATGACCATGGAACAACCTACTACAGCTGTAGAACAGCCCAACGCAGCTACGGAGCAACCTACTACAATCATGCAGCAACCCACCCCAACCACAGAGTCACCCACTCCAACCACAGAGCCACCCACCCCCTCCATCCCCGGCGCCTACCCCGCCTCCCCTTCCCTCCCGCCCATCACCCTCGACCCGCAGGATGAGCAAATGGCATGGGTGACGCTTGGACTCGTAGTATTGCCCGTTCCATGTGCAGTTGTTTATATGAGTATTTAAGAGAGAAGGAGGGAGGGGGGGTGATGGGATAGGAGACTGTAGCTTTGGGGAAAAAGAAAAAAAAGGGGGGGGGGAGAGGTTATGTTAATGGAAAGGGGGGGGAGGGGGAAGTTCACGGTAGAATATATAGTTGGGATAGAAAATTATTAATGTGAGATTTGTATAGAGGTGTTGGATCATGGGTTAATTGGTTTGATGGATATGTGTTGGAATGTGTGTGTGTGTGTGAGAGAGAGAGATGGTATATTTTCTAGCCTTGGAATAAAAGGGGAGTTACAGGGTAGCATGATTCATGTGATGAAGAAAGGTATAAATTCATTTACCAAGGAGCCATACAAGAAACCATATGAGCAGCATTATAAACACTATCACAAACACTGCTATGGTAATGCCCCAAAAGTACTTGGTCCGAGAGTGATGTTCCTGGAGCAATCCGGATTTACGCGCAGCTTCTGGAAAGGGGGGGGGGCGGTTAGTAATTTGCATTTCCATTCATGGTATGAGGCAACGACATACCATGTATGAACTCTTTAGTTTCAGGATGTGGCACGTATGTATGCGCAGTAGTATGAGCGAGAGTAGGTTGCTCTTGTCCAGGATTGAAATTATGCGTCATGTGCTGATTTGCGATGGCTGCTGGCGGGGGCCAAGCGACATAAGGGTTGCTCATCTCTGGTATAATTGGGTTGGTCCAAGAGGGATAATACGACATCATGTGATCTGTCCGCGGTGAATTGTAAGGCCAATTGGTGGGCAGTGGTGGATAAAGGCTTTGACTCTGCATGGACGGCGGATATTGTTGGTGATACTGTGACATACTCGTCTGCGTTGTCGCGGGAACACTGGGACCATGTACGCCGCGAGGACCGGGGTATGGGCCATGAGGAGGAAGATACCCCTGTTGTGAGCTCGAGGGATGATTTTGCCAATCTTGCGGCGCGGTAGACGATACTTGAGATTCTTGCGACGTGGCAGACGGTATGTGAGATTCTTGCAGCACAACAGACGATGTGTTATATTTTGGCAGAGTACCAGGAGCTCGGAGATACCGATCGATGGGCTTTGACTGCGTTTGAGATGAATTCGAAGACAACGCAGACGAGTATTGCGTTGAAGATGCATCTGAGCCAGCATTCGAGAACCTGTTACGAACCAGCTCACCGCCAACCCTGTGCTCACTGCCTTCCCGGCCACTTCCTTCTCTTCCAGTGGTGGTGCAGGAATTCTTATTCAGCTGTTTCTGGATTTCGGCCATGATTGCTTCATATTCTGATTCGGGGAGCTTGATATGGGGATGCTTAGGTATTGGGACCGTTAACGAACGTGGGAAATACGGACTCTGGTGTGTGCCCAGTGAGTACAGATCGTAATTGCAATGTCGCATGGCGTAGTGAACAAAAATGCGAATGCACAACGATTCGCCCTTGACAGCGACGACTGAAAACTCTAGCAACTCTTTTGGTGTGAGATGGGCCTTGTTGACGAGATAAAGGCGAAGGGTGTCGATTGTCGAGGCGAAGTCTATGTAGTATGTCTACAATACAGGTGTTAGTGTATGAGTGATAAGAGGAAAGTCTCTCTAGACCATGAACCATGTCAGTATACTCACCACACTATCTATCCTGTCCTTCGCCCAGAGCACTTTCTCAACCCAATAGGCCTTCGTTCTTTGCGACCGCCCATACTGCTCACCAAAGGCCCATTCCAGAAACGGTACAAGCTCGCGGGCAGCCCACTCGAGATCGAGCTCTTTAGGCGCTTTCGTTCCAGTTGGTCTCTGCATATCGACTAATTGTAGATGGAGGTAACGATTAGTAGATCAAGTAATTGTACGTTAAAACATAAGCGAGGGATTGTAGAGGAAAGGTAGTATGGGGCTGCGTCGAGATATAAGTAGTTTGTGGGAGGATGAGAAGGAGAGTGAGGGCCTTGTTTTGGTAGCTGCTTCCGTGAGCAAGGCAGCAGACACTCGTCACGAATCGTTTTCACCACAAACAAACACTTCGTTCATTCATTAGCGTACAATTGTCAGTACGGCTCCTTCCCGCTTTCACCCCACTATGTGCATCATACTGATACTAATTACCACGCCCTGCTGTAGCTTCTACATAGCAGTCAATCGAGAGACCCTAGTTTTCTTGAGATGAGGAAAACAAGAGATCAGAACAAGAGATCAAAAAAAGAGAAAAAAAATATAAGAATCCAAGGTGTCTGCTTAGGAAGAGGAAATGAAGAGAAAGAGGAATTTTTTCCCAGGAACCAGACAAGATCAGATCACCGTATCCCGCCTTCTTAACTCGCCTTGCTGAATCCAACCCCCTCAACGCCGAGATTGTACCCCTTCTTTCCACTGAAGCCTCTATTTCCATATCCTTTCCTCTGCTACCACCGCCACCACCACTAAAACGCCGCAGACTCTGCTTCAGGCTTCCTCGACGACTCCGTTGCTCCTAAGCAGGCGTCGTACTCCGGTCTCTCCTCAGCAGACCACCCCGTCCCTTGGGTCTCGGACTAATGCTACCCTGTTGGCTTGTAGCGTCGCTGGGCTGGAAACTTGTGCGAAGTGTTACCATGCCCTTACCCACACCAACGTTCTGCTCACTGCCACTACCCTGATCGGAGACTGTGAACTGAGCCTCACCAAGCTCCTCGTCGCGACCGAATTTAGCGTGGTTTTTGACGATGATTTTGAAAAAGGCATCGGCTGTGCAGGGCACCTTGAAGGACTCTTCAGTCGGGTCGAATGTGGCAGAGCCTTGGGGAGCCTTGATGTGATCTGTCTTGTGAACTTCTTTCTTACCGAGCTGAATGTGTACGCGAATATTGGTATTGGGGTTGAAGCCGTCGGCGCTCAGGACAGTAATGTTAGCCGTGCCTTGCTCTGCGCTGCCGACACCATTGTTATCACCAAAGCGACTGTGGAAGCTCGAAGCGCCCCAGCTACGATGTCTATTGTGGTTCGAACCATCCTTCGGAGGTGTGGTGGGTTCACCTTCGATCGAGATGACAGGCGTGTCAGCCGATGGCCGGTCTGTAGCAGTGTCTGGACGCTCGGGCTCGTCTTCTGGGGCTTCACCACGAGACTTTCTGCGCTTGAAGCCACGGCCGAGGAATGTTCCTGCACGAACGACGTTACCGCCCACAAATGCAGCGCCCTTGCCGACACCCTTTACGGGAGCGCCAATGACCTTGCCTGGAACGGCAAAAGTACCAGAGAAGGTACTTGAGCCCTGGCGCGATCGCATGACATAATCTGGTTTGAACAGCATGCGCAGACGAATAGCACCAGATTTCCCATCGAGTGCGAGCGTAACTTCTTGTTGCTGGAAAGGCTCAAGAATCTCCAGGTTGATGGAGGCTTTGCCAAGGAAATCAGCTTTATCGCCAAAGTCCCAGTCGTAGACGTTGACAACAAAGTCGGCTGCTGTTCGGCTGCGCACTGATACTTCAAAGTACTCATTCCAAGCAGGATGAAGTGTCTTCTTCTGTGTCTTGGTCTTGTACACCTCCTTGTCGTTGAGCACAAACTTGCAGTAAGGATCCGAGAAGCCATTGCGGTCAGCTGCAGGCAGATCCGCCGCATCAAGCACGTCTACACGAAGAGTACCCTGGTTGTTGAATGATTCACTGGGATCAAGACGCATCTTGACGGGAATGTACTTGAGCAGCACAGTGATCTTGTTGTCACGCCCATGCTTATCTTTCAGGGTAAATGTGGTGGGTGTGTTCTAGAAACGTGGTTAATAGATGTTTGTACACTAACCATTGCAGACGTACCAAAGCTTTCCGAAGCGTGTCAATGGTGTTTCCAGTCAACTTGGCAATGACGTGATCATCCTGGTCTTCGCTGTCGTTGTCATCATGCTCCATGATACGGAGAGTGATCTTGGAAAAGTCGAGTTCACGGATCATAGTATCACCAACTACATCTTGTTAGCATCATATGACCTTACAAAGTGTCTCGCCATACCATCGTTGAAAGTCATCTTGTTGCTCCTGATCTTAGTGCTGATATAACTAGCATATGCCATGTCATCCATAATGACATCGACGTGCCCACCAGTCCTGGCAAACTCGCCTTCGATGAGCTTGAACACAAGCAAACCAGATTCTACAACACGTCAGCGACTGTCAATCAAATGTGTAAGAATACAGCGCATGATTTTGTAAGTTGGGGACACCAACTCAAGCAGCTCAAGTCTACATTCTCACACTGGTCATGCAACCTACCATATTTCTGCAACTCGTCTGTAGTAAGCCTCAACTTTTCAATCTTCTTCTTCTCAGGAATTGAATCGACCTGTTGCAGCTCATTCCTCTCAAGCTCCTTCAGCATGTCCTTCTCGCTCGACTTGAGCGATGAGATTGTGCCTACAGTCTCGGCTTTGCTTACGAGGGAAGAATTGGACATTACGCGCTGGTGGCCGCCGATCTTGGGATCATCCGATGTGGAGCCGTTGGCCGAAGTCTTCTTCTCTTCTTCATGCTCTTCCTCGTCCTCCTCAGGATCCCAGGTTGGATAGGTTGGGTAGAATGAACAGGTGTAGTTTAGCGTGCCTCTAGATTGAGCGTGTCCGGCCATCCTCAAAGCCCCTGCAGTAGGTTGCTTTTGTTCGTATTCAAGGTATTCGCCGTTCTCATCCTGCTTGATATAGTCGCCAACTAAGAGTTCAATGTGTCCCATTGTGCGGTCTTTGCCAAGATTCTCCTCGTCCATGACTTCTAGAGTAAGCTTCTCGCGGACGGTGTGCACAGGCACATAGATGACTTCGTCCCAATCTGGGTTGAGGTTGTTCTTGAATACGACTGTACGGCCCTTTTCAATGCCAGAGAGCAAAACACGGACGTACGGATCAGACTTGCCGAGCGCTTCGAGGTTGCGCAGCTCACGGGCGCTTTGGAAGTGCAGTCGCATGACACCAATAGGCGTAAGATAACCACCCGATGATACCGCCCCCTTGAGTGCGACAGGCTTCCAATCGAGCTTCATCTTCACACGGCCACTTTGGGTACCGGCAATGTTGTACCATTCATGGCCCTTGGCCATCAACTCCAACATGTCATCAATAGTGATTTGGTAAGTGCCAAGGATCAGATCAGTTCCAAGCTCGCGGTCATCTTTGATTACAAGGCCCAGCTTTGCCTTCTTGCGGTCAGTAATGAGCATCTCCTTGGAGGCGTCTGGCCAGATGGGCTGGTTGGTTCGTTTCATGGTGCGCGATTTGTGAATTTCATGTCCGTTGAGAAGTAGGACGGCGTACGGGCTCAATTGTCCAATCATGCTCTTGCTGCCATCGAGATCCTTGGCCTGCTCTACTGTAAATTTGCAGATACCAGTTCGAGACTCTGGTGGTGGCTCCTTGGTGCCGTCTTCAAGCGTAGTCTCCCCTAGAACAGGGAAGAAGCGAACGTCTGCTGAAACCAGACCCCGGGCTCGTCCACCTGACATGACCTCGAGCTGTAGGTTCTCATGATCGGGATCCTCCTCGAGCTGTTCCAGAGCGAAAGTCGCGGTACCGAGTTCCTTGTCCTTTCGGATATCGTTGTAATCAAAGATGTTGATGGTAAGCGAGTCTTTCAGCGAGGTGATGATAATGTTGACAGTTTCATTCCATCTTGGGTTAGCATTCTCATGCACAGTCTTAGTGCGTCCAAGTACATTGCGATTGTTGATTGAAACAGTAGCGTAGGGATCAGGAGTACCGGAGAACTTGTCGGGATTCTTTAGGCCTTGTGCGCCGTGGAAGTGAATTTGCAAAACGCCAATAGCCTGATCGACGGGATTACCAGCAAGCATCTTGGCGATTTCAATGGGGAAAACATTCGGTTCGTACATCATGGGGCCGAGATTAGCATGGATCTGCTCCATGATAAACGTCTCCAATCCCGGAATGAAGTTGATATCGAAGCCAAATGTTTCACCGCCCAACGGCTTGCAAACGTAGTCAATGGTTGGGCGTTCCAAAAAGGACATTTCAACTTTTTCAATGTGGGGAAAGGGTAGCTGTAGTTTGAACTTGAGGCGCATGAGACCTGAAAAGGCCATATCCTCGACGATGACATCCAGACCTTTGCTGACAAGGCCTTTACCGACGCGAATTTCTAGCACAACCTTGGGGTTAATCTTGTTCTTGATCTGTCTTGCGGTAAGGTCGGCCGTGTCGTTTGGCGTAAAGCTAAACTTCCAGTCCATAAGAACAATGTCGTCCTGGGTCTTTGGGTATGTCTTGACATGCTCCAGTCGTGGAGGCTTCGTTCCCAGCACAAACGTCGTCATCTTCAGACTATCAAGGAATGCCGGGGTTGAAGTAGACAGGACCTGGTCGACGGTGCCAACAATGGTGTCGCACAAAACGGGCGCATAAATGGGCCAGAATTTTACGAGGAAGCTGTTGATCCACTCGAGACTCTCATTGTCCGTCTCCAGCTTGTTCTTGGCCATTTCGCGATTGAGGTCATCTCGAGCGTTGCGACGCACGCGGCGAATGGATGTCCGGTAGTAGGTTCCGCAGATGGCCATGAAGATCATGATCCAGCCTAGTCCGCCGCCGAGGATGCCCACTACCCACGAGCTCAGACAGGCAAAGATGATGATGCCAGTATTGTGGTACCAGTCACCAAAGAACTTGTCCTCGAGCTTGCCCTCGAGCCATGTCTGGTGGTCTGCCAGAGAGGGCTCATCCTCGTCCTTGTTCTCCGAACCTGGCATGCCAAACCGCGGGGCCCATCCAACCCGCTCCCACCGCGCATCTTCGTCGAGTTGCTCGGGCGCGTGACCATTTG